CTAAAATTTTGACAGAATCAAAACGTATTTCTTTTTAGATAAGTATTATTAAAATTAATGTACATTTAGTTCAAACAATAAATACCTGAATTAATGAATTAATTAAAGATAGACCACCATGGAAAACCTGGAAGCATTGGACGGCCGTTTCGTTCTAGTATGGGACTCATCAACAATGCGCATACTAGATCCCGCCTCGCGAGATTTGAACCCAGGACCTAGGAACGTTTAAATTACTACAATCTCCACTAAATCCCCTTCTGATAACATACAATAAATCACATTTATTTTTCTAATTAAATAAATTTTTCAAGTGTACATTTTGTTACTAGAAGATTTAGAAAAAAGTTTTTTTTAGTTTCATTGGTGCTATGACATTTGTTTATTGATAACAAATGTTTCCTTAAAATAAACAGAATAATTAATCCATTCAGATGTTATATTTAATTATGATGATATTTTGTCTTAGAATGATAAGTCATTCATATTTACATTTCATTTCATTCAGTATAATTATTCACCAATAACAGTGTTAGAACATAAAATACCAAATGACTGAAGCAGTACGTGCACAAAAAAAACGTACAAAGTGATCTTAACACAATTAGCGTTAATGCTAATTCACTGTGAAACTAAAGAAAACGTTTTCTTAAACCAATAAACGAAAGTAGGATGACAGAGTAAATTGGAATTTATATAAAATCTTATTATATAGTAAAGCTTAGTGGTATCGACATTAAGGTAAATAGAAATCGACTCTACTATCAACAAATAGACATATATAATGCTGCTAAGTCTACTAGTTAACATGTATATGTATCCATACATGGGTAGGAAAGTATACAACCTAGAACTACAGAGTAATGAGACAATTATGCTTGTTTTTACCTTGTTAATCCACGATTACTTTTTGATATCATACTTATCATTTATAAACAAATATGAATTATTTGCAAGTTTTAACTTAGTTTCAACTTGGTGTTTAAGAGAGGAAAAAGATATGTATCTAGTCTTATTAAAACTGTTCGTATCCAAATTCCAAAAACATATCATATATATATTTACGAAAAGTTGCTATTCCGATGAACCTTAATTGATATATCTAGTGTCGTTCTTCATTGATCAGTTTACCAATCAGTTCCCAGTAACAGAAGAACATAGAACAAGCGTGTATCGGCTTTTACAAAATGAATCTTGAACGAGTCGAAGTTAAAATCGTATCAATGGTAAGAAAAATATTAGGCAAAATGATTCGAAAAGTAGGAATGCGTTAGCATTATAAAAAAATGTGAAATAATTTCTAAATAAGAAAGATCAGTTCAGCGACGAGTTCTCTTTTCGGCTAATTCAGCTTTGAAAATGAATTTGCTGAAAAGAGAACTCGTCGCTGAACTGATCTTTCTTATTTAATGTCTTAATAATTTCTAAACTGAGGATATATTAGTTATGCAAGGTAAATGCACCTCTACTTATCTTGAATCCTGTTTCTCGGTGTCTCCAGCGACTGATCATCGGTATTGCAGTGAGCGCGTCAGATAGTCTGAACCTATAAACACGACCAAAAGCAATAGTAAATTATACCACAGACTAACATCACCTACATCAGTAAACATCTGGAGTAGAAATAGGCGTTGATTGAGTCTATTCAAGACTTATCTCAAAAAACTCGGTGGATGAAGGTTCAAAGTTTTATCAGCCGAATTCCTTTTAGGTTCGGTACCCTATGTTTAATCTTAGCACCATCGTATGTGAGTGATGCATCGCAGATACCAATATTTAAATATACTAAACGGCATATTTCACAGCTATATATTACAAGATTCCAACTAGTAAGCCAAACAAAGTATTTAGTCAATAAGGTCCAATTTTATGCCTAATTCATCGTTCTACTTTTTACTCATGAATTTATCCTGTCACAAAACATGCAAGCCATCAGTTTGACCACCCGAATCATTACTTGCATGTATGAATAATAAGGCTGAAAATAGCGACACTGATTCCACAAATGATAAATAATAAGTGACTATATCAACAAATTTCACAAAACTAAGCTTTACTTATGATATGAAGATAAATGTTTTATTCACTATGATTGAAATAAGTCTTACTCATTGATTGAGTAATAGAGTTCTGTAGTCAAAACTTAGCTACAATAATTGTTTTACAATACTTCGGGTAATTTTTTATATAAATATATAGCAATATTCATTAGAGTTGCAAAGAATCTGTTTCATACTCAAGCATTTTCTTCTGACATTCGTTCCAAATGACTGTTTTGAAACAATGGCGGTTAAATCCATTAAATTAGACGTAACTAAATCATGCTTATTGATCGAATCGTTTACATAGATTGGCTTTGATGCACTGGAATCTTAAAGCTTAAAGGATCAGGTTTGACATCATACTTTAATTACATAACTGAACATATGGTGAGACCATAATTTATGGACAACCTTCGAGCGTTGCCAAAGTGACCTTGAGAGTGTTCACCTAATAACTAGGACTGAATGAGGATTAGAAACCAGTGTGAGAAGTTGGAATTTTGATTTACAGTTGATGGTTAGGTTAAGGCATTACATTTAGAGTATTCATCACGAACTGACATCTGCTATAATGCCAAAACTCCATTTAGCCAAATGGATGAATGAATTTCGTGCCAAAATCCTAGACCTGTTAAGATATACCTGATTGGTTCGTTCATAAATTATAGTGCGCCGAACATGTTAATTTCTGTGCATGCATTGTACAGTCTACCCATTTTTACAAATAAAAAATAGTGAATAATTATCGGTTGAGAAAGCCATCAAAAGTATTTGCTCAGTACAACTCCACACCGGTATTCTGAAGAGTTATGGAGGATATATATATATATTTAAAAGCTATCAACTTTTCAAATAAATAGTTTCACGATCTCAACCGTTAAAATTACCATAATATCCACAAAAACCCTTCTGATATTAATCAACATATACTCACTAGTAACTGGCTTCAAGAGGTATTTCATGGAGTTCTAATGAGAAGCAGTGACCAGTGGACTTCAACCAGGTCTGTTGTGAGATCGTAACTCACTGAACACAATGGTGGATGTATCGCTTAATTTCTTGAATTAGTTGAAGTTAGACATTAACACTTGGATGCCGAATCAGTGGTCTAGAGGTTAAGTGCTCACGCGCGAGACCGATATATCCTGGGGTCGAATCCGGCGAGGCGTGATCGTGGATGTGCACTGCTGAGGGGTCCTACGATAGGACGAAATGGCCGTTCAGTTCTTCCAGGTTTTCCATAATGGTCTAGCTTCAATTGACTCATGATCTCAACCGTTGAAGTAAGTTTCATTCAAAATAAACTCGATTAAACAAAATGAGTAATTAAGCAGTATTTAATATCATAATAAACAAATCTTTCAAAAATTATAAAACTATATGCAAAATAGACTATGGTTGAAAGTGCAGTCTAAATTTATTTATCTTTCCAATTTATATCAAGATTTGTAGATTTTATACTGTTTTGTGTCATCAGTATGAATTTACGACGAAATCCATAAAAACAGTTAATCAACTGCTATATCAATTTCAAAATTTTCATGTTAACGATGTAATAATCTAATAGAGAGTGAATCTTTCAAATTATCTTCTCATCAACATGAAGATATAATGTATATGAATTCATAATAAACACCTTCTAAACTTACAATGTTAGGTATCCCAAATCTATTTCATTAAAACAAATATAACAGATAAATTCATTTCTAATCCATATATATATATATGTATATGTATATATTATTGATATACAATTTAATAAATACATTGACATTATTTTCTTTATTATGTCAGAATTCTTTTCAGTACTGTTTTGCCCAATATTTATTCAGTAAATATGAGAAGAAGAAGAAGAAGAATAAAACAAATGAAATGATTGAATCATGTACAATTACTTTTCAATGATCATTTAAACAATGTTGAATTTCAATTGGAATATCTACTTCTATTCGAATATAGACATATAGATATTACTTATAATGATGATTATTACTTTTCTTTTTTTCTATTCTGGGCAAATTGTTTAGAACATTTTGTTTTGTTTTGTTTAGAAAAAGAATGTTGTAAAAATTGAACATCGCAAAGGTTGTTTAATCTAATATAATGAAATGGAATACAATGTCTTATGTACCATTATCCTATTATTAATGAAATTATAATGAAAAATATAACAATCAATAATTTACTTACCAATGAATGATATATAAAGACATATAAATCAATAATAGTTCACTAAAACAAAATGTTAGAAAATCACCATCCGGATATATAGAGAGAAATGTAAAAGGAAAGAAAAAAAAAGACAAATGATACATTTGGATGGATCAATATAATTTATCGAGTGATTTTAACTATCATTTAATATAAAGGAAAAGAAAAAGAAAAAACAAACAAATAGAACAAACTAGTTTATGAGAATGTTTTTTCCCATTTGTTATTTAACACATAGATACTTACAAATTAAACAAGTAAAGAAGATAGTATTCATGAGATGAGTTAGTTACTATGGCAATTACACAGGTTAATAACAAAAAGAAAGAAAAAAATGTGAAGAATCAATGGGAGAGATTGAAATAGAGAGAAGAGAAGAGATTTTTCGTGTGCTATATTTCAATGAATTAAAAGTTGAAAATAATTAATTGACTATTATTTCACTGTATAAATTATCATTTATAATGATCTTATACTTGTATCGATGTATTTCATAATTAAATCCAAATATAATTATTCTTCATTTATCTGAATTTGAAAGAAATTATGAGTTATTGTTTGTTATCGCTTTTTTATTTTAATGAACATACATGAGATAAATTGGAGGGAAAGAAATGAATATTAACTTGGAATAAACTAAATTTTCTTTATGGTGATAATTATAATGTCAACAATTGAATGATTTTCCTTTAATTTAAATTGATATTTATGATGTATATGTATTAAAGTATTTCGATTAGTTATTTATTAAATTAAATCTTCTTCAGCAGATTCAGTTTTTTGACTGGTGGTAAATGTACGTGAAGTGGTTAGTTGTGATTGATTTTCTCTTGGTGGTGGGGGAGGGGGTTCTGTCATACGTTTAATTTCATCATTACCTATAGTACTTAGTACACTATCATTTCTAGAAGTTGAACTTCCATTATTTCCACTGAAATTTTGATGGAATAAACTCAATAGGTCAATAGGTAGGGGGAAAATGATGGTAGAATTTTTCTCATCTGAAATACTGCTTAATGTTTGTAAATAACGTAATTGAAGCGCGATGGGACATTCACCAATTTCCATAGCAGCAGCTTTTAAAGCTACTGATGCACGTTGTTCACCTTCAGCAGCAATTACTTTAGCTTTGGCCTCTCGAGCTGCCTCTGCTTCAGCTGCCATAGCACGCTGTAACTGAATAGGTAAACGAACATCTTTTATATCAACACGCTCAACCTTTACTCCCCATGTCTCTGTTGCTGTATCTAGACAATCTTGCATTAAATGAGCAATTTGTTCACGCGCTGTTAGAAGTTGGTACAAATCCACTGTACCAAGGACATTTCTTAATGTAGTCTGAGCTAGAAGACGAGTGGATCGATTAGCATCTTCCACGTTGACAACTGACATCACTGGATCGAATATGCGATAGTAGACAACAGCATCGACAGCGACGGTCACTGAATCTTTTGTTAAAACCTCTTGAGTTGGTACATTGAATGTGAATGTACGTAAGTCTATTGTTTTGACATTGTCCAAACAAGGTAAAATGAATACAAGACCGGGTCCTTTAGGAATTTCTGATACTAATCTTCCAAGGCGAAATACGACAGCTCGTTCATATTGTGCAATCACTTTGAGACACATAAATAGGGAAAATGGTAAGGTTAACAGTGCAGCGAGGTAAGCTAAAAGCTGCATTGCAGCCTCACAACCAAACATTCCTTTGTTGCCTTGACGTTTATAGGACCCTCTTTTGCCCAGACGTTCAGGGACAAGCGAAAACCCACGCGCCAATGTTGGCATTGAAGCTGGAACACGCAACTGGGTTGATTCGTTAGCATGATCTGAAACATTTCCTGATCTTTCATTTTCGCGGTCTACTTGATAGCCAGTTAGGGCTGGTGGTTTACGTGCATTAGTGTCCATTCCCCCTGGATTTGTATTTTGTGTATCTGAAGCAAATGAAACCGAAGGCATATTTTAAAGTCACAATTGGAAGCTGTTAAATGTTTCTCAGATTCTTTTAATATCAACAATCTGTATTTATACAGTGCATTTGACAAGTTTTGCAATTCATTTAACAGTTAGTAGTACTGTCCAGAACATTTGAACAATTTAGTACACTTTATTCACATACAAGAATGATTTTGTATGATACTCATGTGTGTATGTCACGATCTTTGTAACCTTCATACATTCTTCCATCACAGTTAAATTTGTCCTATCGATTTTATAGGAATAACTAGTTTAATGACCAATCAATTCATTGGGATAAATGTTAGAATAGTTAGCTGACTATCCTCATATGTCCGTCTAACAATCAGTATGTTAACTGTAAAGTTGGTAACCAATGGAAGCCTTAGTTTACATTTATTGTCAAATGGAAACTCAAATTGCAAATTATGTAAGCTTAATTATACTGTTTTTTGAGAGATAATTTATGGGATAATCCATCAAAACGATAAGATTAGCTATTATTACGTTAGGTGTTATAAAAGTATGAAATGTTAGTTTCAGTAGTCAACATAAAATTAATGGCTAAGCTACTAAATCAATTCTATTATTATGAAGGAATTATTTATCCATACGACTATTTGAGAATTCAACTGGACAATAATTATACTCGAAATATATTAAATCTCTATATAAAATAGGTGAATGGATGAACGTCTCGTCTTATTTGGGATTGGTCAGATGGATGTAATCGTTACACAAGTGAATAGCTACCTGGAAATATGAATTAAGTTAATAACGCGTCGGCGTTTGAAACGAAAGATACTGAGTCCGAATCTCGAAGTGGACGTCAACTCTGGAATATCAGTGATGATGTCACCGGTATTCAGTGTTTGACAACGCTTCTACCAGTAACACCTAATATGATTTGTACCCACCGAGAGAAATCAAAAGACAGAGTCGAGGAGATCGGAAGAGTGTATTTGGCGATTACTAATATATCGGAATTCTCTGATCTAATCTGGCTAGCGATTGCGGTTGATGTTGAGCACGGCGTTACCACACGTGATCTGGTACGGATGCCTGACCGAGCGCCTTCAGCTAGATGAGTCCACTAAAACATATGGTCAGCATCCAATGTCGAAAACTTAGTGCTATTTATTTTGGGGATTTATTTACCGCTACAGATCACTCCCCCCCTAGTGGGGCAGTGACGACCCTAAGACGTGGCCAGCCAGAAGTTTAAACCCAACGAGTTTGTCGTTGGTAAACACTCTTCTGATAGCTTACTAAGTGTAGCAGCGTCTGGTCGTCTTTCCTTACTATATGGGACCGAGGTACAACATAGTAAAAAAAGAAAAAGTTACAACGAAAATTTCGACTCCTCGTAAACTGCATCGTTCTTTTCCAGCCGTCCTGGAAAAGAAAAAAGAATATGTAAGTGCATGTCGAAATACACTCGTATGTGCGTAAAAACACAATGTCGGCGAAAAAATGGAAAATAAACTCAAGCACACGTAATAGCGTTAAAAAAATTTTGTTTTTTTTTTGTTTTTTTTTAAATAAAAATATAAACATATAGGCATATTAAAATTGTTTTTTTTAAATATTATATACTGTCAAAAGAAAAATCGAGATAATATAAAATGTCGAGTAGTGTCTTACGTGCAGTAGTCGTTTAAATGTTCTGGAAATCTTACTCTTCTTCCAGAACGCGTCGTTTTAGGTTTATTTTCAGATACATTCGGAGTATCATCGCTAGTGTTGGTTGTCGGTTGAGGAATTATGAGTGTAGGAGTCGTGTTGTGCGATTGTACCGAAGGAAAGTCGACGTGAATAGGATTTCCTTCTAAATACGCTGCTTTTAAGCGATCGATGCTGATGCTATCGTTTGTTCCGTTCTTATCGACTATATAGTACTTAGATTCACGTTGAAGAACTTTGAAAGGTCCTTCGTATGCTGATTCGAATGGTCGTCGATGCGAGTCTCGACGAACGAAAACGTGTGTACTATATCGTAAGTCAGGTTGAACGAAAACATCAGTTGATTGAGGTCGAGTGGAAGCAGGTTTAACTGAACGCATTGCGTTTGTAAGCCTGTTCGTGTAGGAGGTTAGATCCATGTTCATTGAAGAGGACGAAGGATCCACGAATTCTCCTGGAAGTCGAAGTGTCGTTCCATAAACGAGTTGAGCCGCAGTGTATCCAATGTCAGCTTTCACTGCATTGCGGATACCTAGTAAGACGAGTGGAAGAGCGTCGGTCCACTGTGAAACGTTTGCAGCTGATAGTGAAGCTTTTAGTTGTCGGTGAAAACGTTCTACCAACCCGTTTGCTTGTGGGTGGTAGGCGGTCGTTCGGAAGCGAGTGATTCCTAAAAGTGTGGTCAGACGACGGAAAAGATCAGATTCAAACTGACGTCCGCGGTCTGTAGTGATGGTTGAAGGGCAGCCGAAGTTTGCTACCCATCGTTCGACGAAGGTGCGGGCCACTGTTTCAGCAGTGATGTCCTTGATAGGTACTGCTTCTGGCCATCGAGTGAAACGGTCTACGCAGGTTAAGAGGTAAGAGTATCCATTTGAATCTGGTAAAGGTCCTACCAAATCCAGATGAACATGGTCGAAACGAGCATCGGGAGTTTTAAACGAGCCTAAGGGACATTTATTGTGTCTGATAACCTTAGATTTTTGGCAGCTTACACAGGAGCGTGCCCACTCCCTCACGTCTTTATTCATGCCAGGCCAGCAAAATCGTTCTGCTATAAGCTTGATGGTTGCACGAACACCTGGATGAGAAAGTTTGTGCAATGTATTGAAGACATTGCGTCGATAATGTTTCGGCACGATTGGGCGATCCCTACCTGTAGATGTGTCACAAAGTAAGGTTTCCTTACCTGTTCCCATCTGTTTGATGCGTAGTTTAAGTGTTGTGGACGATAACTCGTGCTGAAGATCAGTGTCTTCTTTTTGAAGCTCGGCGAGTTTAAGAAGGTCGATTCCTTGGAAACTGTTCAAGGAAGTTATGCGAGATAAGGCGTCTGCAACTACATTGTTTGCTCCAGAGATGTGTTGAATATCTGAAGTAAACTGCGAAATGTAGTCCAGTTGTCGAGACTCACGGGGAGAGTACTTGTCAGAAGGAGAGCTTAACGAGAAAGTGAGCGGTTTATGGTCCGTGAAAAGAGTGAATTCACGGCCTTCGATATAGTGTTGGAAATGCCGTACAGCACAATACATAGCTAGGAGTTCCCTACCGAATGTGCTGTACCTCGATTCGGTGTCTAGCAACCTTCTAGAGAAAAATGCCAAGGGTTGCCAGGAGTTGTTAACCCATTGTTGTAAGACTCCTCCGATTGCCGAGTCGGATGCGTCTACTGCGATGCTAATGGGTGCTCGGTGTCCTGATGTGCGAGCATTGTTGCTTTAGCGATCAGTTCCTTAACTGTGGAGAATGCTTTTCGTGCGGTGTCGTCCAAATTAATGGATTTCGCATTTCCACGAAGTTGGTCGGTCAGAGGTTTCATAAGTAATGCGCATTTCGGTATGAAACGTCTATAGAAACTTACCAGGCCGTTAAACGTGCGTAATTGCTTGACGGTGGTCGGTTCTGGGTAATCCAGAATGGCCGCCACTTTGGTTCTAAGGGGTCGGATACCTTGAGCATCGATAGTGTGTCCCAGAAAGTCTAATGAGTCGGTTCCAATTGGCATTTCTGAACGTTTACAGTTATGCCATGTTTTTGTAATCGTTCGAAAACAAGATCCAGATGCTTGAGATGTGTTTCTCTGTCCGGACTTGCGATTAGACAGTCGTCAACATACGCGTGTACGAAGTTGAGACCTCGAAAAACGTCGTCTATGAATCTTTGGAATGTTTGAGCAGCATTCCTTAGACCGAAAGGCATTCGCAAAAATTCATAGAGTCCGAAGGGAGTTATGATAGCTGTTTTCGGTATGTCGTCAGTAGCCATAGGGATTTGGTTATACGCTTTAACCAAGTCGATTTTCGAAAAGACAGTTGTACCTTTCAAGGTAGCTGTCAAATCGTGAATGTGAGGCAACGGGTAACGATCGGGAATGGTTTTCGCGTTCAATCGCCGATAGTCACCAGTTGGACGCCAATCGTTGCTGTCCTTTTTAGGGACCATGTGCAACGGAGATGCATATGGGCTACTTGACGGTCGTATGATTCCTAAGTCCATCATATGGTCGAATTCGTTTTTCGCTAACCTTAGCTTTTCAGGAGCTAGTCGTCGTGCTTTAGAAAATACAGGTGGTCCTGTAGTCGTGATGTGATGTGTAACGTTGCTGGTTACACACGGTAGTTTCGGTTGCGTTTGTTGTATCCCAGGGTACTTATCGAGTAGTGGTTGATAGAGTGGGTCTATCATATGCTTAACTGTGACTGGGGATACTCTACAACCAGTAAAAGAAGTTACGCAAACGGACAAATTAGTGTTTCCGTCTACTAGCCTCCGTTTGCGAGTGTCGATGATCAGATTGTGGTGTTGTAGAAGGTCCATACCAATGATTGGCATAGAAACATCTGCAACAACGAAAATCCAGTGGATGGGTTTGCGTAAACCCACGTTAAGGTAAACGTACCTTTTGCCATACGTAGCGATCGGTTTTCCGTTTGCCGCCTGTAAGTTTAGAGTCGATTCGTGAAGTCGGTCGTTAGGATTTGCTGGGAGAACGCTAACTTCTGCGCCAGTGTCGACGAGGTAGCGAACTCTCGTTGTCACATCTGTGACGTATAACAGACGGCTTTGTTCGCCGGCTACGGTTGCCGTTAACGCGTGCCGGCTTGGAAGTTTCCCGAATTGTTTTTCGAATCAGTCGGTTTCGTGTTGGGAAAATTGCAGGGTTTTCTGCAATTTCTGGAAAACTTTCCATACTGGTTATGATACCAGCACCAGTCGGGGTTATCTGTCTCTCGTGGTCTAGAGACAGATCGCTTACGAGAAATGCTTCTACGTGGTGTGCGCGATCTCTTACGGTCGGTACGAAGACTAAGATAACGCGT